AGGAAGGTAAATTTTAAATAGATTTTATATTTTCTATTTAAATTATAAAGATTTGTTACAGTTTTTTTTGTTAAGGACGAATRCAGAAGGTGCGCCAATTCACAATAGCCATACACAACAATACAATAGTCATTTACAATAAATTGACCGAATCAACGTTCATACTCGTATATCACTCGATTCTGCAATGCGTGCTCTCGTACCCTTGTACGTTTGGGTATAGGATTTTTGCAATCTGCAATATTGCAAGAGCAAGAGAATCCCCCTAAAAAGTTTTGTCGTTCGATAAGAGAGGACGTTTCTACTAGTTGTTTGGTTCGTACACTCTTCATATGAATGTATATAAAAATTAATTTTAATTCATATTTTGTTTAGAAGCCATTGTGTGTCACACTATTTTTTTACAACGAAAAAAATTTAATATCCTGCAGTGATAAAATTCTGTTTTATTTTGTGCGTCTATTCATCACTATGGATGAGACTTGGGTGAAAAAACCAAGAGGCTAAAGAGTGGTATGGACCTAGTTGTTCGGCTTCGAATCGAGTAGTGTTTTGAAATCGACCAAGAAGGTTACGGCATTCGTTTTTTTGGGTTGGGAGAGGAATTTCGTTTGTGGATTACTTGCAAACTGGTAAAACAATTAATTCTAAGCTTTTGTACTAATTGAAGGAAAAAACTCGTGAAAAATACCCGCTTTTCATTTTCAAAAAATGGTCAAGTCCGTCTGTCTGAATGTACGCAAGCTAGTTCTTTAGTTTTTGGAATCTGATGCAGCAGAGTTAACATTTTTCTGTTTAGGAATTGCTTGTTCTTCTGGTTTTTTAGAGTTTTATAGAAATCATTTAGTACGGCTAAGCTCCAATTAGATTTGAAAAAACCAATCTATATTATGAAACTGTTTCTAAAAGTAAAGCTGTCATTATAAATATACGTTTTTATAAATCTATAGTCCATTAGCCGGATTATTTCCAATTTTTAAGGATATGCACAATATTTAACTTGATTACACTGCTAAAATGATATTTTGTTAAGAAGACCTATAAATGGAATCGTTAATGAACAAGTAAGGAAGGGCTAAGTTCGGGTGTCACCGAACATTTTATACTCTCGCATGATAAAGTGATAATCGAGATTTCAGGCGTGGTTGTGAACCGATTTCACCCATCTTCGGTATACGTTATCAGGGTGTTAAGAAAATATTATATACCGAATTTCATTGAAATCGGTAAAGTACTTCCTGAGATATGGTTTTTGGTCCATAAGTGGGCGACGCCACGCCCATTTTCAATTTTTAAAAGAACCTGGATGCAGCTTCCTTCTGACATTTCTTCCGTAAAATTTAGTGTTTCTGACGTTTTTTTGTCAGTCGGTTAACGCACTTTTAGTGATTTTCAACATAACCTTTGTATAAGAGGTGGGCGTGGTTATTATCCGATTTCTTCCATTTTGTGAACTATATATGGAAATGCCTAAAAGAAACAACTCTATACAGTTCGGTTGACATAGCTATAGAAGTTTTCGAGATATGTACAAAAAAGTTAGTAGGGGGTGGGGCCACGCCCACTTTTCCAAAAAAATTACGTCCAAATATGCCACTCCCTAATGCGATCCTTTGTGCTAAATTTCATTTTAATATCTTTATTTATGGCTTAGTTATGACACTTTCCGCCATTTTGGGTGTGGCAGTCCGCCGATTTTGCCCATCTTCGAACTTAACCTTCTCATGGAGCCAAGGAATACGTGTACCAAGTTTCATCATGATATCTCAATTTTTACTCAAGTTACAGCTCGCACAGGCGGACGGACAGACGGACGGACGTGCAGACAGACATCCGGATTTCAACTCTACTCGTCACCCTGATCACTTTGGTATATATAACCCTATATCTGACTCTTTTAGTTTTAGGACTTACAAACAACCGGTATGTGAACAAAACTATAATACTCTCTTTAGCAACTTTGTTGCGAGAGTATAAAAACACTTGTCTACCTACACTTATTTTCCGCATGTTTGCATTATGTTTATGATTAAATTTCATGTAATTTGAGCTCGTCCTGCGTCCCGAAGAACACGAGGTGAATGAATGGACATTACTTCCGCATGCCGCCTATTGGCCGATGAGTCATCCTGAAACATTTGTGTAAGCAAAGCAGTCAAATACATTTATTGCACTTGCTTCGTCGTGTCTACTTGAGTCGTTTATGCCTGCATTTTATTGACCCAACGTAATATTCTTATCTTTGGGTGTCATTGTGCAAGGTTATTAAGAATTTGCATTTCCATATGTGTTCTTAAGAAATGTTGTATACATACATGTACTATATGTACATGTAAATGAAGATTTCAAATGCGGTTAATCGAGGACATAAATACAAAAGATCATACATATAAAGACCATAGGTAATACTTACAAAAATCAACGAGTTAAGGTTCAAACTTTCGATACTTCAAGCCTAGACCCCGATATTCTGTGCACTGTTGTGGTAATTTGAAACTGAAAGTTGAGGGTGCATATGTATATATGTATGTACAAGTAACTGCACAAGTATTTATGTACTAAGCATATTCTTATGCCAATAAATGCACATACTTATATACATACATAGCTCCTTCTATTCTGGGATATGGTTTCTCAAATGCGAGCCGTTTAATATTACTTTGCTGAATATCAAAATATGGGTTTTAGGCAACTTAATGTTTAATGTATGACAGCACTCACTCACATATATTATATCACAAGCATGCACCTATGTACTTATGTATGTATATGTCTGTGTTGATTGTGTTTATTAGATAAAGAAATATGAGACAGTTTGCCAGACTAAAGTAAAGTCATCGTATAAGATATGCTGATGAGTCTAGTCTTTAAAGAAAATATATTCATAAATAGTATTGAATTGATATAGATATATAAAGTTCGATATATATATATGTGAGTACATATGTATATGAAAATATGTATATACATTAGTGCATACTGAACATGGAAACATAAACGCCATTAGATGTTGATATATATTCATATCAGAATCTTAAAATAGTTATTGACCAGTAAAAGAAATTTACACATGGTATATTAACCGCCGATAATCAAAATTTATGAATAAACATGTTATTCTTATTCTTACTCGATCTAATCATTTTTTTATCACTATTATCCACTACTATTATCCACTTCTCTACCTATGTTATTGTATTCATTGTTATTTTTTTTTTTTTAATAAAATCTGAACCACTTAAAATTTTATCTACAATCGCTAAAAATTACTCATATTTGTAAGCCTTATCAAAACAAAAACAATAAAAAACCTTAACGTTAACGATTGCGTGGAAACTAGAATACCACAGACAAATGAAAAAGTTTTCTCTACAAGAACGTGATTTCGGTCGTTTGTATGGCAGCTACATATCTCTTAAAGTGATCCCATATGAAATTTTTCAAAAACTCAAAGAGTGTAGCGTTGTTTTTTAAAATATTCTATGTCAAATTTTGTGAATTTCTCCTCCAATAGTGGCTCGATATGGCGGAAATGCTTCTTGGTTAGAAAAATACTGATGCAAATTTTCAGGACAGACAGATATGGCAAAATCGACTCAGATTGCTGATCAATTATAGTAGATGAATTATAGATTTTCTGGCGTTTACTTTTGAGTGTTACAAATTTCGTGGCAAACTTATACATAATAACAATATTAAGCTCGTTGAGAATTAACTAATTAATTCATGTATACAATATATATGTGTAGTATAATAAAGGTAGAAATATGCTTCAGGCCGATTGAAATCATTGACATAAGTACATAAATTTCATACTTATATTTTTTTAAGAATTTACATGAAGTGTATGACATTTTACATACATACATATATACTACGATAAGTAATTTCCTGCTAAACAAACCACTATACATTTGAATATACACATATGCATAGATGTACTTCTGATCTGAAAGTATGTATGACTGTATGGTATGTGTGGCTTTTCAGACAGCCGCCTCGGCCTTTTCAGTCATGTGTGGGGTAAACACACAATTCTTTAAAGATCGCTCGAATTTTGTGTATGAGTACGTATAAATATGTTTGTCAGTTTATTTATTTGATGTTAGAGAAGCTGGCTATCGCAAGTAACCTAAGCAACGGGGAAATTCGATTTGAGGCCTTCAATTGGCAAACAAGATATTGCTTTCTCGGCGGCATTCGTTGACACCTTAAAAGTGAACTTAATATTCTATAAATATAAAACCTTGTTACAATTTTTAGATTCCTTGATTGGATCACTATAAAAAGGATGTACTACGTTATTAATTATAACTATTATTGCAATTGTTATGATGATGCGAATTAATTAAAAATAATATTCTTTGGAATTTAAAAATTGTTGCATTGAGATTTTTCAATTATGTATAGGAATCCCTGACATTGATTTTCAGTAGTTGAGATCATCAATCAGCTTCTTTACCAATATTGCAAAGGCATTTACGCACGTTCAACTAAAAATGCAAAGCTCGCCACTAATATACAACATACACATGGCATATATATACTTCGCGCCTACTGACAATTTAAAAAATTGCTAAGGAAATCCGCTGACAAAACTGGATTTTCTCCAAATCACCAAAAAGTGCGCAAGCGCGGTTTTGTCTCAGAAATTCTACGATCCGCACCGCAAAAGCACAATGCAACGAAAACTTGGCGCAAATAAAAAACATTAATATAAAGCAACAATCAAAAGCAATAGTAACCAAAAAACAAACATTGTGCGCGCGCCTAAAATACAGCCAAAATTTATGAAAAGAAGCAAACAACGAAACTTTGCCTGACCGAAATTAAAATGCAATACATTTTTTAACTTTTTCGTTGCTCGTTTCTTGATCACCGCTGACAATGCGAAAAAAGGAAACTCGCTCGAGCGTTTGCGAGCTGAATAGAGTTGAGCTTGGAACAGTCGAATGATCGCTAAGCGATCGATGGTCGAGTTTCGAGAAATTCCCACTTACCTTAGCACCGATTTGATTGCCACATTGACCGGCTTGCAAGTGCACGATTTCCCTCATTTCGTTAAAATTGTATTTATTTAGCTTCAACAGGAAACTCGCGAATTCACGTTTAAGTGCTCTTTTTATTGCTTTGTGTTCCTGCAATCAGAAATTCGAATGCGCCTGTGAAAATCCTCGACGCTTCTTGGCAGATTTTCAATTAAATTTTACTCGATTCAATTTTCGGACCACACACCCGTTTGGTTTAATTTTAATTAGTATGGATTTGTAGATACACAATTCTTGGAATATCCTGCGCACAAAGAAACTCCGGTAATACTTTGATCTAAATGTTGGAACAGAGCACGGAACAGTTGTGGGCAAAGCACTTGGTTACAACTCGACGTACGAAACTGAACTGATCATGTGTGGAATGCGCTGTGCCAGCATGAAGCATACGCCGGTGGCCGGCAAAAGTGAATCCATACACGCAGACGGAGTTCGCCGCACGCCACATGCGTCATATAATGGGTGAGTACATTTCTACACACATAATACTTACATATTTGAGTATATTATTGTATTGTGTATTCTTTGTGTGCGTGTTATATATATTAATGCATGTTGGACACATACATATTAAGAAGCATTGGGTTGGGTGGTGGAGATGTGCGCACTTCGTTGTGACTTTGCACCCATTGAGAGCTAAATGTAGGTAACCGTCAAGAGAAATTGAAGTTGAGCGAATACTCGCAAGTAAAAGAATGAGTGAGAATATTGCACGAGATGCAATCAGCGATCGTACAACACTGACGTTAGCACTGAGAGAAATAAAGTTAAGTAACGGTTAATTAAGTAGGTAAGTGAAATGTGTAGCTGCTATCATAAATTAAACAATTTTAAAGTTAAATTTATAGGTAGAATGTTATAAGAAATATATTAAAAAGGGCGATATACTTCTATTGTGAAATAGTTCTGAAGCATAAATTGTGAAAAAATTGTATCCGGAAATTGTAAATAAAATGCAAAATATTCCCCACCAGATGTAATACTTTTATTCTAACGATTTTTCCAGTTTTCGAAACACTTTTCATAAGCACTTTTTGGAATGACCGTTGGCTCATTCAGCGAGTTTTGTTTTATCTGTTCGATCGACTGAAAACGGGTTCCACGGAGTGGAAATTTCAAATAGGACTCCTTATTGGCCGTCTACGAATATCGAAAAAACATTAAGAATCGCCTTGACTTCTTGAGCGGCTTTGGCGGATCTTTTTGGTTTCGGTTCGTTTTTTTCCTTCCGTTCCGATGATTGTTGACATGTTTGCATGTCAATCTCATAACCCCATATCTCATCGGCAGTTATACCAAGGATATCTATGGTACTTTTTTTGAAACAAATTCATCGGGACAAGTCGAGCAAAAACCGAATAATACCCAAAGTATTCATCAAAGTCATTCGATCGGGCTCGCGGGAGATGCCGAGTTCTCTTGCCAATCGTCTAACGCTTGCTTGACGATTTTCAGGAACCACGTCCTTCACTTTTTTTAATGTTTTAATGTTGTCCAGACCAAGGCATGTCTTCAACGATTCTTGACCGTTTTGAAGGCTTTGTACGACTGGGCTTGTGGTTTTCCTAAAACTGAATCACTGGGAACGGCACCACATCATATCACAGGCAAATATTTATTCTACCACACATCATCCCTTGAAAAAAACTAAATACAAAGAAATACATACATACATGAAATAAATGAATAACCATAAAAAGTTTCTCTCTCTTCTTGGGAAAGAATTAGATGAGTAAATAGATGATGACCAAGATTCCAATTTCGTCTGACATTCGAGCAAGATTATTCAAAACTGTTAGAACCTTTATGATGATAAGTGTTTGTACCAAATAGTTGTCTACTAATAAATTTATATCAGCCAAATGTTTTGATTCTTGTAAGAAGCGAACATGTTTTGGGCGACGCAAGTAATAGTAGTATTGGTATAATTCTGATGGACAGAGACCCTACCCCCTCAAAATATCATTAAGATTGTACTTGCAGTACGGTTCCACCTTAATGCACTACATCATGTAAGTATATACGAATATTAATTTTCAAAAATAACTTAAGGCATCTATTGGTAAATATATAGTACATATATTTCTACATATGTATAGTACAAACATTTTATGCCACACACCATTTACAACACTAGAAAGCAGCTCATTATCCGCACTCACAGATATTTAAATGTGCATTTGTATGTGTAGTCACCAAAGGTACATAAATAGCAACTTTGGTTGTTTCTAATGAAAAAGTCAAAAGCTGTACTGATCTTTTAGGAAAATAAAGTATCAAGATTGTCGCTTTTGGAGCCAAAATTAGAAGCGAAGGAAGTATATGTGCGTCCCAAAACTTGAAGTGGTTCTGAGTTCAAAGCATCAATGAATAGTACGACATTTCTCGGGAAGTCAAAGGTTAGTTAACTGTTTGGGTTGAGATTTTAAAGAGAAAAAAATATCTACATTAATTCAATAGAAAATATTTGAGAAAAATTATTTTCCTGAAATATGTGAGACAGAGTTTTGAATTTGATTAATTTTTATGGAAAAGAATTAAATAATTAATTGCCAATTGGAAGATGTATAAACATCGAATTAATTACAGCACAACACAAAGTAAGAATAAGAGTAAGAAAACGTTTTCAATGTGCTCTTATGTACTTGGATATGTAAATAGTGGCCAATAAAATACACAAACATTTTACAGATCAACAATTTTTTAAGGTTTTAGTAGAGTAATCCTTAAAAATTTTTTTTTGATTTTCTGTTCCCTTATATCTTTAAAATTAATGTAAAAACCCACTCTACCATTGGAAGGTTTCGAAAAAGGCTCAAAAATAATAATACCGCTCGACGTTTAGAGCGCTCGGAGTGCACACCTCAAACTTTAAAGGGGTTTTTCTCAAAATATACTTTTTAAAACGGACGGACATGATTCTGGTTGAACTACTCAACCGGTTTTCTTAATTTTTTTTAAATGTTCACAAAACGCCTGGCTATCGTTCCTACTACATTCCTAATTTTTTATAATTTATTGATAATGTTTAAATTGAGTTTATGGATTTCTGATAATCCAGACATGAGTAATCGTGCCCGCCAGTGAAAAAACGCATCTCATTCACCCAGCAATTTCTCCGACAGTTGTCATCAAAAAATTCCGAAAAAATTTGTTTATACACTCCAAGATATATGTACCTCATGATATGTGAAAAATATCAAAAGAAACGTACATATAATGCTTTTGGGATTCAATTTACAATAGATATTTTAAAACGCAGTTCAGTTGTCTTACAATGAATACCAATTTCTTCAAGTAAACCTTTTACGTCATTACAAAAAAAGAGTTTATCTTCCTTAGTGAAGAAACAAGAATGTAGCATTTCCTTGTTCGTCTTCTTTGATGGGATTAGAGGTTATTTTCAGTTAGAAGGCTGAAATAAGCTTTTAAATTTATTGATTCAAAAATTAGTACACCTATTATGGTATCGCTTAAGTGTATTTTAAGACTTAGTATTCTTAAAAATATTTATTTGTAAAGGAACTACAGCTGATCTCCGGGAGTTCCTCTCAAAAAAGGCGCTTTCCGCTGACCACTATATGTCTGAACTGAATCCTTTAATAAATTTAAAAACAAACATCTTTTGTTAAATCTAGTAAAAAAGTCGAGATAAAAAGCAATATAAAATTTTTTGACAAAAAATGGCGGTTTCTCAAAAGAAATTATCGAATTTTGACGTAAATTTTGCCGAGAAAAAATCGTCGCTTAATTATTAAATACAGGAAAAAACTTTAACTTCGGCTGCACCGAAGCTAATATACCCTTCACAGGTGCATTTCTTTTAGCAATTATGTGTTCAGTTTATATGGAAGTTATTTTTCGGAGATTATATTGTTACCTTCAGCAGTAATCCATGCTAAATTCAACATAAGCTTGTCCGAGAGCAAACAATCGAGATCCCAGATAAATTACTCAGTATGCTATTAAAACTCACCGAAACTAGTTTTATATAGATATTGCATACTTTTAAGCGCATATTTTTGGTGAGCTGCTTAAACTTTCTATCGCTTTCCTACAGTGTCGCTCAAATATTCTCGGTTTCAGTACCACTTAAAAAAGTTACAAACATAGATACAAGTGAAGCTAATAAAAACGTATTAAAAAAGCAACAAACGCATACCGAAAACTATTAAATTTTATAATAGCACAAAATTTGATGTAGATGTGGCAAACCAGATGGCAAAAAAATACAACGTGAAGTCGAAAAGTTGTAGGTGACTACTTCAAGTATTTTATATTTGGTATTTTGGACTTAGCTATAATAAATACCTGGATTTTGTACAAATAAACAGAGGGTGAAAACATTTCGAAGCAGGAATTTTTGTTATAGCTAGCTTCAGAACTCGAAGATGGATATAAAAATCTAAAAAAAAGATTTTACCAACAACGTCCTGAAGTTCTAATTTGTCTGTACGAAAGACTTGCCAAATCAATTATTGTAAAGATTATAAAACAACAAAAATTTCTTCGAAGTGCAAAAAATATGTTTGTGGCAAATGCACATTCCAGATTAAAGTAATTTGTAAATTGCCAAATCAATTGTTGTAAAGAATATAAAACAACAAAAATTTCTTCGAAGTGCAAAAAATATGTTTGTGGCAAATGCACATTCCAGATTAAAGTAATTTGTAAACAATGTGAGGAAGCCGAATAGAGTATAGTATTTATGCATAACACTCAGTATACAAATTTAGTTTTACTTATTTTTCTTTTATAATGAATTTTGAAAGTTATATAAAAATATATTTGGACTAATATTCATGAAATTTTTTTTTTTACATTACATTTAGCAATAAATCAATAATTATCTGTATTGAATAATAAAATCGATAACTATAGTAGGTATATAAGAATCATCACTAGGTTTAGTCTTAAAAAGCTCGTGTTAAAATTTAAAGCTAATCGGTTTAGCCGTTTTTGAGTAATATTGGTCCTGACTTTGAAAACACCATTTTAAGAAAAACACGTTTAAAGCTTGGGCTTGTACTTCCAAGCACTCTGAAACGCCTTTTCAAATTTGTGTGTAACTTCGAAAATATATATTGGAACGATATGAAAATTGCTGTGTGTATTCTTAAATAAAGGTACATTAAGAAAATAGAATAGAAACAAATATATATATTTTTTAATTTTGACTGTATATAAACTCGAAGCGACTGGCGCGCTGTTGCTAACTCGGCTATAATCGCGTAAGCGGTGTCTACRCCAATTAAGAAGAAGAAGTATATAAACCCCTAAGCTTCGTTTTGATAGCCTTCAACCTTTATTACGCAATTGCAGAAGTTCTCTGATTTCCATTCACTTAGGAGTGGTCAGAAACGATTC